TCACAGTAGCAGCAACCCCTTGGCTTATTTGGAAGAAACGTTACCAGAAGAATCAAGGCCACAAAGATGAAAATATTCAGACTCAAATGAAGAAACACTCAAGAGAGTAGCAAAAACAAGATTTGTTTTTGAAAACAGAAATCCTCCCTATTCTGTTTTCAAACTAGTTGGGAAGGAGGTGTGACGCAGAAGAGGATATGCGTAGTAGAAGAAAACGCTGAAGGAAGCATCAAAGCCTGAAGTAATAAATAGAGTTTTTTCATGCTTTCTCATAATTTTCATTTTCCCCTTTGTCGAGTAACAACTAAAATTGTCTTGTAATTAGTCGTGTAGTCGTTTTTTTAAAGACCTGAACGGCCATTTCGGCACTTTGCTATGCACATTGACACTAAAATACGTTTATTACTGCTTGATTTTGGACAAAAAAAAACATTTTTCATATTAAATTGAAAGCCCAGTTTTTAATTTTTGTCTGAGAACGTGTATACAGGTCGAACAAAGAGATTGTTATCACATTAATGAAACAATATTTTTATAGGTGGCGACAGCTAAAGTCACTTGAAACTAAAGATGTTTTCTCACGACACTAAGTTTTGCTTGGATTGGTTCTATACTTCACTCAGTATTATAAAGATAAGTAAATAAAAAACAATGAAACACCTTGTGGAACGAGAACGATTATTATTTTATCAAGCGTTCTCAAGCGCTTCATTATGATTAATTCTGAAATATCCTGTAATTTTCATTCATTATTTATATTATATCCAACTTTGAAAGAAATTCCGAAAATCTTTATGAACTGGCAGCGTTACTAGCCACCGATTCTTTCTAGAATGAAATAATTTTGTGGAAATATTACACTTGCCACTCAAATTACAGACCACTTATAGTACATGTATTTACAAACTACATAATATATCACCCCGTATCCGCTGTTTATACCATCCTAAACACCCATACCTAGTCTAATCTTTCGAAAGCATCTTTTAATAGAATAAAAATCACCGCCCTTGCATACTGGTGAAAAGGCAAGCGCACAAAGCCTTGTGCGTTTTCAATAAGATGTAAATCTATACTTAACATGGGCTCGTCTTACCACGCTATTCTTTCATTGAAGTGAAGAAGGCCGTACAAAGCAACTCAAGACAGGAAGGGATCAGGACCACCGTTCGCTGCTTTTTGACATGACTAATCGTGAGAGCTTTATTCCACCGCCATCAAGTCATAGGCATTGTAAGACAATGCTTTGTGGGAAGATATAAGAAAGCGTCATACTTGTTGTGTTTCGCGTTTTCTGTGGAGTGAACAAATAGGTACTACGCTAAATGCTCTGTAGTCTATACATTGAGGTAATTTGGGGCGCTGAATTCGAATATCATCGCGAAAAGAACTTAAAGGATCATGGTGCCGAATTAGGAGTGAAACATTGGTAAAAAACTAATTACCTGGGGTCACCCGTGCATTCTAGTACTAAGTTTTTTTAAGTTTTTTTATTAGTCGTTTTTTTATAAGTAGAATTCTTAGCAGTACCTCGAAGACGGAGCATTTCCGAACAGAATGGGCCGCGTATTCGGTTGCAGCAGCCCAAAAAACGAATCATAATGATGGTTGGGCTCACGTTTCAGGCTGGCCTAGTTTTGCCCTTTTTGGGACATAACACCTATACATGGTTACTAAAAATCAAAATGCTTCAAATGCGCTTCAAATCACCTCCAGTCACCCGTGAATCCTAGCATTAAGCTGATATTGAAATCGGAATCTAAACACCCGATTTACCTAGAAAACAAGCTTCAATGAACATCACAGACGCGCAAATTTTTTTGGAGGTTTTTTATAAGTCGTTTTTTGATAAGTAGAATTCTTGCAAGTATCTCTAAACGGTGCATTTCTGCACTGAATTCAGTTTCAGCAGCCCAAAAAACGTATTATAATGATGTTTGGGCTCACTATCCATTTTTGCCATTTGCCCATGGATTGAATATCTGAATGGAATAATAATGAAGGTATACATAGTTAATAAATCCAAAATATATAATATATTAAGGTTCTTTAGTATCTCAATCTATTCCTGTGTGAAATATTCCGCGCTTTTGGCAAAATTTATATTTTCTTGTAAAAAAGTTCAGCAGATTTTGTGGATTTTTTGCGATAATTCATTTATATCAATTCCCAAAGAAGAAATCTATAAATACGAATAAAACGTAGATACATTAAGTTTTTAGCATGCTTTTTTCAGTGAAAGATTGTCAGGAAGTTTGTTCTTCAAAACCTTCCAAAATTGCTCTATTATATACCTGTAATATAGAAGTCAAGTAAGGCAACTTGATGACTACTTATAAATATCATTTATCACACTACTTACATTTGAAGGAATGTGTTCATGAAATTTCGTAGAAGAGCAGTGACCATTTTAAAAAATGGCGTCAAGTAGTTTGACTCTGTACCTGCCACGCAACGTTGTCCTTAGCTCAGAAGGATTATGATCGACACAATTCATCCCCTCTGAAAAAAGTAACCTCGCAACTCGCCAGACGCGTGTGTTGAAAATATTTCTCTTCTAATGTGAAATATTTCTTAATAGGTGCGTAGTATTACCGGGACTCAAATCATATAAATATACTGATGCCACAAAAAAAAGAACGAAATATACCCCTTTTATTTCACTACAATTTTTTTTTTGAAAATTATCAGGAACCTCTGAAATTAAACTGAATGTTTAAAGATTTTTATTTCTATTTTTCAGTCCCTATATCTGCCGCCATGGGACCGATTTTCAAAAACTACAAAGCTTTTCCGTCATTGGCATAGCAGTAACATTATGTTTTTTTAAAAACACGAAAATCACAAGAGTTTCAGTGTTAAATCAATCATAATTTTCAACTTGCATGTGGTCTGTGAATGTTTGGTTACCAAACCAATTCATAAACAATATACCTGTACGCACGAAATCGTCATGTGCGCATTCTCAAAGTTTTTGAAGTTGTCAATATTCGAAACATACCGTTCATCATGCATGAAGTTATTGGGCGTTCATTATAAATGATATCTCCCGTTACTATGGTGAAATTTTTAATGCCATCGTGCTCACCACTTGATATTTCCCAGGCCAAACATCAGACCCACATGACTTGACCGCCAGCGACAAAGCAAAAAAGTTGCATCTACTGCCTAAGGCGTGATTTAAAGATACACAAGGAGGGTTGCTATTGAGCAGTCAATCACAGACAGACATAAACCCAATGTAAACGTTTAGTGCGGATTATACATGAGGGTAGAGAAATTTGAGGGGTGTACGCTTATACTATACAGGGTAGTTCGTAGAAAGCATTTTAATGCCGGATGCAATCTCTTGGTTTTTTACACAGCTTCTGCTATTGCCTCACTTGGCTGTTTCTACAGTTTTGCAACTGAATCGGTCCGTTCAAAAACCGCATATTTTTTCAACATGCTTAGTACTACTTAAGATTGCACTTCAAATAGTTTAATATACTTGAAAATGAGACAAAAACGTTCGATATAGTAATTCTACAAATGTGCCACATAGAAGACTTTGCAAGTACTTTTTACGTTTGAGACCATTGCCGTCTCATTAAGATTGTAACAATTTTATAAATAATATTTTTGTGGGAGAAATTGATGTCGATGCCTTACTTCTTTTAAGGGTCCAAACAGGTAAATTTAGAGGGAGTTAATGGAAAACTTGTAGACACTTCAGGAACTTGGGTAATTTTAAGAAAAAAAGTACATGTGGTTGGCTGAATATAAATCTATTACATTTATTATTTTAGGTGGTTTGGATTCGTATTTCATTTGATTGATATCTGCTTTTGTACCTACTAAATTGCAACGAAATCGATATTATAGAAAAACTGATTTTCAAGATACATTCACGTCCTGTATCTTGAAAACGAAGTATTACCCTACATTAATCTCAAATCTTAAAATCACCCAAGGCATCAGCCGTGTTTGGCCAGGTCTTTATTAACACCTTGTATACAGGGCATCACAATTGAACAGCCTAATTTAAGATATTTTGCTGCAACTAGTAACGTCAGAAAATCTAAAATTGCAAATAGTGCATGCATTCCTTTTAAAAGGTTTCACTCATTAACAAAAAGTAACAAGCGAAGTCTCCTGTCATCCTGAATGGGTAGCAGCTTCTACGCATTATAATTAATAACTTCTAACATTACTTGCTTTCATGCGCTATACACTTTTCAAGTTGTTTATTAACAATTTTATTGTTCGACATGAAATTGATTTTCTATTATTTCACTTGACATTGACCCCATCATTGATTTCAAATATTATTTTATAACAGCATTATACAAAATATTTATGACAGAATTTCTGACCTTCAGGTATGACTATAATAGCTTTATTTATTTAGTAAACATGGAAAAATGTATATCAAATTTTTTTTATATCCAATACAAGTCGAGTGGAGTTAGGTCTGTGTTTTTGATTATCATGAAATCCTTTTTTCTCTATTAAATTTCTTATCTAATGCATAACACATGTCTATAGGAAGAAGAAATGGCGCACATACTACACTTGTGAAATGTTTAAAGTAAAATGTATTGCAATTATAACATTCAAGACCAAAAGTTTTATATGAAGCCTATGTATTGTATTTCAAAAATCACTGATGATTTTTTTTTGTAGAAATGCAACGGAAGACTAATGCGAAAATTCGTTTATTCCGATAAATATTAAGAATGGTTGAAGTTAATATTTGTAACTCCTAAGACTTATCATAAGGTAACCTCACTGGATTATCTCCATGTGATAGTTGAATGAGATCATAGATGTAGAATAAAAGATTTACTGGCATTTCCGTCAGCACGGTGACGGTATTATTAAAGTACAAACAATGTTAAATGTCGGTAAATCTGTAACAATAATTGTGGTTTCATTTAGTGGCTAGTAAAGAGATGACTAGTTGCAGATAAAGGTGTGACTGAAATACCATATTGATTCAAAAAAATTATTATTTTCATTAACATAAAATATTCAGGTAGCTAATGTACAAAAAGTTAACTATCTACAGCGGATAAATATATACGCAGTAATCAATACTGCGTGAAATCTTACATTATAAAAATACACATTTTTCTTAAAATTATTGTCATTCTATTAACTTTAGGCGGTTTAAAATTCTCTTTTTTAGGCTTCTGCCTGCGCGGCTGCTTCAAAGTAAAAAAATTCTCTGTAGAATTTGGCCCGCAACTCTAGAATACCTTTCTATGCAGAAATATTATAAAATAAAGAATATCACAGTCAATATTATATACTATGTAGTATTCAGTGGCTGTCTATAGATGGCTACCAGATATGAATAGGATGACTGTTGTATCTTAAGTTCTGTCATTTAGTTTTGTATGTACAAAGGCTATATAAATTTTCAGATCAATAGGCCGCCCTTAGGAGTCTCTAATCTCAAAAACGTGTTTTTTTTTAAAATAATTTTTACGGGCGCAAAGTTTCGTAAAAAATTAAAAAATCGATGCTACATCCCGGAATTTTTATGGATTTGTGGAGAGCTTAGTTTTGAGAGAGAAAATTTGAAATCCTTTTTCGAAAGTTTGGTTAGCTAATTAAAACTTGGCAAACTTAAAAATTCACCGTATATCAGTGCTTTCTTGCACTCTTTTCAGATCCGCTAACAAAACCATGCATTTTTACCCAAAAAAACACCAACAGTCGAAAAACGGCATGTTTCGCGATGTTCTTCAATTTTAGGCATTTTAAACGTGATATCAAGTAAGTTGGGTCTTAAAAACCCAACAATTCTATTACTTCTGTCCATTGCGAAATTATGAAAAACTGTATTCACGATATTTTGCTGACAGAGTAACCTATATAAGTTCTACAAATCTATAAAAGGTCGCGGTTATGTAGGATATAACAATATAGTGGTAATTTTTTCAAAATTATCTGATGCAAAATTGCTATCGTAAACATTATTTTCGAAAATATACGTTTTTGGAGTTAGTGTCCCATGGTTACGACCTATTGATAGGTATATAATTTAGATTGATCCATATTTGAATAACTTTGGGGTGGTTTTGATATGCAGTTACACCTATAGCCTCTATGCATGTCTCAAAGAGAAGCGACAAAGCTTAAAAGTTCCTAATGCATTTCCGATAACCCACTAAAGATGGAGGTTTTTCGAGTTGATCAGCTAATCATATTGTCGAACTCGGTTGTGACTTATACATGTCACACATTATCCTAACTATAGGAATGTTTCCTATAGTTCTCCTGAAGAATAATTCTTCAATTGTTTCCCCGGAAACATTTCTAAAAGTAGAAATTAACAGCAGAAGCTTTCCAAACCTTAAAGGTTGATCTGGATGTACAGATGTAATATATTTATTAAGCGCCAGTTGCGCGTCATCTTGTATACTGGCGATCCTTGCAGCATCGGTCAAGCTCTTTTGTTGATTATGCTCTGGAGAGCTAGTTGAATCTGGACATATCTCCATGGAGGTATCTTCAAAAGAGATCTTGAAAAGAGCTGTGGCTCTTAAGCACGCATACTCCTGGTTGTCAAGTTGAAATTGCCTGACATTGCTCAGGACCTCTTCAAACTGCTGCACCCTCTGGAGGAACATTGCCTTGTTGAAGATCCTGTCCAAGGCTCCACAAGAATAAACTAGTGTGGTGAGGTCGGCGATAGGCAGGAACTGCGCTGCTCCAAGAATGAAAAGCTCCCTCCAGGATTCTTCCAATAGCAGAAGCTGGTCTTGTAGGGGCAGAGAGGTGAACTGGGTTATGGTCTTCGTCCATTGAACATTCATGAACAGAAGTCTGGCAGCTGACTCGCAGATAACTGCTGGACTCAGCACTGGCGTGGGAAGCATCGATGTCATCGGCAATGGAAGCTGAAAGAGCAGTAAAATTAATATATGTATTCAGCAGGCCAATTATAGACCCAGCTAGTTAAATGGACAGTTTCAAAAAAAATGTATTAACATGTTTTACAACGGAATTGTGTTCTTGAGGGTATATGAAAAAGTTGCTCCGTGTAGAAATACAAACAATTTTGCTGAGTAACCTTTTTTAAAAAAAGTTAAAGTTGAAACTTTCTCAAAAAATTAAAATTAACTAGACATTTGCAGGGGTAGTTGAGCACTTTTGAGTTCAACATTTTTTAATTACCACAAATACTCTAATTTATGGCTATTATTTCAGATATCGTTCTACATTTTCCGGTAAAAAAGACCTTTTAGCTCTTTTGTAATAACAAATTAACCAAAAGCAATTTGTTCGTGCAAGGTCTCATTTTATGGGTATTGTTATTAGCTAGATCTCTTTTTGACCACTTATACCAATAATTCATGACTATTCTGAAGGTACGCGAAAAACCGATATTATCAGCTTTGAAATTTAATGAAAAATTTACCAAGAAAAAGTTTTTGTATCTCTCGATGAGGCGGCTTTTCATATATCATCAAGAATATAATTCAGTTTATTGGTAGGTCGTAAGTTTGATGTAGTTTTATTGTTAAGCCATTTCGATCGTTGGAAGTTCGCCAAATGTGCAACTTAAAAACAAAACTTATAAAAGCATTTTATGACAGATTCTGCTAGCTTAATATGAGATAACTGGTCTTATTAAGAAAGCATTTAATGATTTTCCAGTTTCGTTTTTTGGAACCGATCAAGCATCGTTTTTTTATTCGAGCATGTTACTCTTGTTTACGTTTTTATCACCGTTTTGAGTTGATAATTTAGGCATGTTTTGTAATATGTCTGGAACAAACTCCTTCAATATGACAGAAAATGTTTCAGAAATGTCTATTGAGGGAATCTTAAGAAATTAAGGAGCACAAATACCCCCAGTATATTACAAAAAGTTTTCCATGATTACAGTATGGTCTTATGGTAATATAGTATGGACGTTCTGTCTTTAAGCTGTTACGACTTTCACCAATAGGTATTCTTGAAACGTTAATGGCTGTTTTTGAGATGTGCTGTTTAATTTAATTATGAAATTGAACAATCTCAAAAGTGGTTAAACGTTCAGCAGCAAAGTATAACTTAATATAGCTTTAGCTTTGATGACAAAAGCAACAAAATTCGTCGTACTGAAAGTGTGTGAACGTTAAATTGAAGTTTCTCTCTCCAAAAATTGCTCATCTCTCTCATTTTGGACACGAAGAACAACTGCAGGAATTGAATTTTGGGATCACTTAAACAAATTTTTGTCGATCTTTTTTAAAATCGGCTGCATCATGAGACATTTTATCAGAATTCAACAGAATATATTTTTTTAAGTTAGAGGCTTTCCCAATGTAATAAACTTGAACCATGAAAATACAGGGTATAAAAAATTAGCAATATTGAGATATGGATATTTCGTCTCTGGCGATCTAAATAGGTCATTTATTTCCCAGGAACACCATCACTATCACTCAAACACATATATGTAAGTATCAATTCGAAGCTTACCTTAGGCATAGAAAAGATGGAGCTGTAAGCTCCTGGAAGAGTACTAAGTGGCGGTACACCATGTGGAAAACTGATGTCGAGAGGTGGTGTCAAGGACATACTGGACAGTGGCGATACAGCTTTGGGCACAGCTAAATTCAATGCTCCTCCAGTCGAAGACACGAACATTGAGTCGCGAGCTTCGAACAAGTTGGAAATTTGCTGACGCCGTAGAGTGGAAGTTCGTGGACCCCTTTCGTGCTGAACAGCTGAAAAAATTAAATTATTTTCTTAGATAAATAATTCTTGAACCACATTGTATAAATCGCCCAAATTTTGACAGCGTAGTTACCAATTAAGTGTGCAGGTGACTTATTTAGATAGTAAGGGACGGATTCGACCCAACGCAAAACAATGGTTCGATGATGGCATTTCTGGAGGGCATAACTTTAGGCTGGAAAACATTTTTGACATTGGAGAAGTCAGCCATCTTTCAAAAAAGAAACGCTCTTGTTTAGTAAGGATCTATCAAGTTTGGTATAGTTCTTTTCACGGTTTTTGGCGGTTCAAAATAAAACTACAGGAACTGCTTTCATTCATCCATCTCTCTCATACATAGATACACAAACATGCCACCTACCCCTGTGTGTGTGAACGTTTGTTCGGTAAGCTCAAAGACATACGTTTTTTAGTTGTGTGGCCCCGTTTCAAAAACTTTGTCGTTACGTATGAGTGCCCTTCAGTCATATTTGTCAGAGTGACAACTTTTTTGACATCGGCGTGCAATTTTAGTTGTCCTATTATCAATCTTCAATATACAATTGTACAATGCCCGAAAATACGATCAATGGAGGAGGCCGACAGCTCGTGCTGAATTTATAAGAATATTTCCAGGAAGAGAATGAAAACAGCGGTCCCCTGTTACCCATTTCATGCGTACTGGAGAGAGTAGCTGATGTGCTGAAGATTGGTCTGCGCCCATGATACGGAGACTCGATCTGTTTACTTATTTCATGGCTTTGATGACGTAACCGCCAAGAACGGTGACTACAACTATACTGGATTTTACTTATTAGTTCTGTCATTTTGAATATATGATAATTCTGATATAGATTTTGTTATGAATGACTTGAAAAAATATAGGATCTAGATTTTCAGATCGCTTTTGGTATTGAAACAGGAACTTTTTTCTCAAAAACAGCCTATTTAAGTTTACGCGTAACAACGCAGATGTTATTTTCGTGTGTTTAGAATTCAACGTGTGACACATCAGGAATATTGCCTCAGTGCTAGTCTGACCCTGGCGATCTAAATGAGTTAGTCGTTCCCCATTAGCACTATCATGTTGGATCCTAAATAGTTACTCTGCTAACAAATTTTCTTTCAATTATACAGACTTGATCAAACAATAATTAAGAAATGCCGATTTTCAGTAGCTTCCTTCAAGCGTCTGTGTTTCTGTAGGGCAACCATGTAGGATTTTTTTAGGAACTTGGGACATTATTTCCCGTAGTCCCAATGCATCCGAAAGATTTCCACTTAATATGTAAAAATAACATATAACTTAGCTGCATGAAAACCTATCTTAACCTCTTTTATCAGCACGTTGCCAGGATCAAAATTGCGTCAAAAACTGCTTAAATAGCTTTGTCAACAAATTCGAAAACTTTTTTTTCTCTCCCCGGATAAAGTTTTTTTAAGATTTTTTTTTGACTGTTATGAACAAAAGATGTTTATCTGGAGTTGATAGTTTTCGGGATAATAAGCGATTCAATATTTGCAAAAGTGCAAAATACGTTAAGCTCGTATCCCGAAAAATGGCGACACGTAGTTTGACCCAGCACAAACTAGATCTTCTGAGAAAAAAGTCAATCAAACAGGTCCATACAATTCGTCCGTAGACATTCTTTCCCTGTAGCGCATCTGGTAAACATCGCCTCACCCCGATACTGCTCTCGGTCAGACGTGGCATCACGGTAAGAGCATAGAAAACACTATACTGCGGCGCAGCAGAAATACGTGTGTTACCATATCAGAACAACAAGGGTGCCGGTACGCGATCCGCCTGCTGAAAATATTAATGTACGGAAGAATCTGTGATGTGTGAAATATGTCTAATAGGTGCGTAGAATTACCAAGGGAGCGTATAAATGTACTTACATAAAAACATTGTAATAAACCCAACCCACCTTCTACAACCCCCACCCGCAAGTTTTCCACCTGCAAAAATTTTTTCAAAAATAATTGGGATCCCCTGAAACATCAAAATCGAAGTTTGAGCGAATTTTACTCGTTTTCTACAAAGATTTTACGCTTTGGCATAGTATGTAGTAACTAGTGGAAATTTAATCGAAATCCGAGCGGTTCTTCTCAAGTTATAGTGCCGTGTTAAGATTAGCGGACGACCCGACAGACAGACAGACAGACCGACGAAAATGAGTGACATGTTTTTTCATATAATAGTACAAAAAACATATCTCATTTTCGAAAATTTACGCGATTACAATATTTTCCCGCCAGTAGGCGTGAGAAGTAGAACAATATCAAACAAAATCTAATGTTACCAAAGTTCCTAAATATTATTCAAATATCCATTAATAAAATTGTAGTTACTGTCAATGTAAATCTTTGTTTCTTTATGGATGTATATTCAGTGTGAGCACAAGAGATGCAAATGGCGGGTGTCTGTATTCTGCATCTCTCTCCCATTCACACATAGTGTAAACATTTACAATAACTCACTAAAATGCTTTAAGATTTTATTAAAATATATTTGAGGAACAATCAGGACTTTTGGCAACATCAAATTTTACTTATATCGTTTTTCAGTGGAATTGCTTATATCTCAAAAGCTACCAGCTTTAGAGAAAAATTCATAAGAGCCTGTTTTGTTCACCAAAAAAGCTAAAGCAGAATACAAAACAATTTTTGAAATTTGTTTAAAAAATGCTTTGGGCCTGGCAATTTAAATAAGTTTGTGCATAAAAACCAAATCAACCCTGTTACTATTATTTACGAATTCATTACTGTTTTGAATCGGTATGTTTTTCGGAGCTGACGTGGTACGTGGAATCCCGTCTGATATAATGTTGAATAATTTCATAAACATGGAAGATACTTACCATCTTTATTCATGCCAGCTGCCTCGCATTTCGTCAATCTGCAAGCCCTGCATTGATTACGATGCGTCTTATCTATGACGCAAGAACCTTCTTCGTTCGCCTTGCAAACGTACTTCCGGTTTCTTCTGATACTTCGTTTGAAGAAGCCTGCGCACCCGTCGCAAGCGAAGATGTTATAGTGCTTGCCGGACGAAAAGTCGCCGCATACCTTACATGGTATGTCTAGAATCCTGCCTGCAAAAAGATAACAATGTTTGCAAAGAAGAATCAAATGATGAGGGCATAGTGTGTAGTGTATGTGATGCAACTTCGTAAGCGCAAGTTAGGGTGGAATGAACAAAGTTCAGTTCTTAAAGAAAATAATTCACCAGCAAAAAAGTAACAAGTAACTAAAGTACAGTTGCCGACACCTACCAAGATTTGGTCATATGGTGCGCAGTGATAATAATTCTACTATGAGTAATCTGGGTAGAAATAAAGTTTTGTCCAACCAGACGAGTGAGGTGGTATACAATGTATACTGATACATCCTCAATTTGAAAACTTGCAGTGACGCTTCCCAAAATATGGCAGAGATTAAAGCTAAAGTAGCTAAAGCACCAAGAGTATCAATTGCCAGTATTACTCGCATTATTAAAAAGGTTAAGGATGCCGGAAATAATGGACAAACCGAGCAGCGTTTTCTGGTGAAATTTCCCGTGACAGATCTGTCAAACAAGAATTTCACTACTGCAGATATAAGAAACATTATCTATAATATCTATTTAACAAACTCGTATCAAGTCACAGGAAGAAATTAGAAGATTTCGATTGGCATGGTAGCGAAAGATCTTTAAGAAGAATCATTAAACAACTCGGCTTCAAATGTGAAAAAAACAGAATAATAGAAAACTAGACATCGAGAAATGGGACATTCGTCAGTTAAGAATCAGCTATCTACAGAAAATCTAGTACTTCCGAGAACAAGGCCGCAAAATTATATACCTAGATGAGTCCTACGTAGATGCCGGACATACTAGGGCTAGTTTGGTTAATGGTAGTAAGTGGGATCTCTTTTCCAAACTATAAAAAGGAAATCGGCTAATTACGATTCATGCAAGTAGATCCGACGGCTTCATAAATGACGGTTTATTGATTTTTAAATCAGGTGAAAAAGATGAATAGCTCAAATTACGAGAAATGGTTGAAGCAGCAGCTTATTCCACATTTGCTACCAAATTCTGTGATAATTACTGATAATGCACCTTATCACAACATACAAGTGGATCCTGCATCAAACTACAACGCTCGGAAGCAAGTAATGATTGACTGGCTAAAGATATTAGATTCACACCGACTATGCTAAAACCACAGCTTTATGAATTGATAAAGCAAAATAAGCAACAATTCATACAGTATAAATATGATGTACTTTTACGCATGCATGGACACACAGTTATACGACTACCTCCATATCATGCCCATTTAAATCCTATTGAATTGATATGGGCTACAGTGAAGAACAGAGTTGCAGATCGAAATATCACATTTACCTTAGATGACACACAGCGAATAGCGGGAAGAGGGATTTTCAAAGATAACATAAGATGATTGGAAGAAACGATGTGATCATGTCATCAATATTAAAACGAAATATCTGGAACGGGAACATACAGTGGACGCCACATCTGAAGAATTTATTCTTAACATCGGGGATGATGACAGCCATAGTGCAGGGACAGTGATGTGGAAGATAGCGAGTCCTTACCCCCCTAAAGAAATGTAGCATGCGTGTACAAGCAGGATAATGACTTACATTTTATATTTTCCAATTTAAAGGTGAATATCCTATTAGATATATTCACGTTTCGGATATATTTAGGTAAGAATTAGGCTTTCAAACTATCCTGAACCTTTTTAATCCTCTTATGTTAAGCCGCGCTCTTCTGTAAATGTTTTTTTGACTGATTCGTATTAATTCTGTTTTGGGTAACCGCCACAACACTACTTTGTACATATGTATCTAATAATAATATACCTGTAAAAATATAAGTAATAAATATAGCGTATACATATAAAGTGTTCCATTATTGACCTAAGCGCAAACAAGACTAATGTTTTTTTTTAAATTAAGCAGATGGTTCACTGTGCTTGAAGATACCTTTCCATATTTATAAGACCAACGTGAAAAATTTCAAAGCACGTCACCGTCAAGTGTAACAATAACATGACATTAAGTACAACCCTCCACCATCTCGAGCATTCCTATTGGCTTTCACTTTCAGGGTTAGAAGATATGCCTGTCCGACAGTAAATCTTGGCAAGCGCCGGCAACTGTATGTTTCAGGCTGGAGTAACGGCTATACAAGTCTGCACAAAGGAGCTAATAGAGCTGCAAATCAGTCAACCACCATCTGCTCAGACAGCCAAAAAAATTCGGATAAGCCAGCATTTAAAAATGCCCCAACATCGTTTTTTGATGTTCCCCATGTTCTTATTACTTTGGTTGAAGTAAAATAACTGAATGCTTCCAATTAAATCCTTTTTTTAAATCAAACAAGAGTTACTGAAACGTATCCTGTGGTTTTCATGCGGATAATCCTCCATGTTTGTCTGGTCGATAAATGAAATCATACCTTTGAGATACTGTTTAGTGAGGGCGACATTTCCGCGACAAAAATGATAATGAGACTTGAAAAAGGACTTCATGGTGGCCGAAACATCGTCATCAATTAAACAGTATTCCAAACATGTGTGCTTTCAATTAGCGGTCAGACATGCAGGACTTACGGATAGGGTATCGAACCAAAAATTTAAAACCATAAAAAATGCATTCCCCAACAGGTGATAATAACAACAGTTCTGTAGTCATACATTGCCATGCTGAAAGCTGCATAGAATAAGCGACAAACATATGTAACTTTAACTATGGAAATCGAAAATAGAACCTGTGTTGTAAAATCGTATGTACTGTTATACTAAAAAGTGCAACTGTATAAACTGACACTTCTGTCAGCATTTTATACACGTAAGCATCCGCAATGTAAATGGCCAAACGACTCACATGAGGTGTGACCCTCGACTAAAAGGGCGTTAGACATACTAAAAGAAACCGGATGTTGAGACTGCAGCAGTTCCTGCCTACTGAGAAAGGAAGTTCTAAGCTGAGAATGAGCAATATCCTAAAGTGGATGGGCTGTAATTCTACACTGCTGCTATACAGACTAGGTCGTTGATTAAACGGAAAGCTCTAGGCCCGGAAACAACAACGTTTATGGTCCAACTCAAACTTAGGTGTGGTAAATGAGTCTAAGCTACAAATTCCTCTGATGCTTCTGCTGCCTTTAACGTATAAAATCTATAAATATGTGAATTAGAAGGCAGTATTAGTGAAACGTACAACTTCAACGTGTTTTCTAAAGAGACTCCACAATAACAAATTCGTAATACCCAGGCATTTTTTAATATAAATAAGTAACCAAGACCTGAAAATAATTCAAAAGTAGGACGATTACATTAGGGAATTTGCAGCAGTTTCGAACCGTTTCAGTATTTTGCTCACAACTCCATCGCCACTGTATCGAAAATATATCATATCGTTTCCTAAACATCAAAATAAACGCAAAGATTTCCAAAATTACCTATGATGTAGGAAAGCCCCAATAGATAAATCGACATATAGTCTGAAAACTATATTTTTATGGATAACACATCAATTCGAAATTAAAGCGTAAAGTAAGTATTGGTTACACCTTACGTTTATTTCACACAAAGGTCGGTACAGATCAGGAAATAACTACTCTTAGTACCTACATCGTATAGCATTAGGCGTAGTAAATTATTTCCTTAAAGTATTGTAAAATTTGGGAAATTTAAACAACCACTTTCAGAAATATCCCATTTTCTTGTGTTCTTTCACCTGCTTATGTACGCGACGCTTATCTATAAATTGACCTCCCCACTGACTGTAAAAACCATACAGAAATTATAGGATCTAAGAAAGTTTTTCGTGCAATGTGTTTTTGTGTATTGGTTGTCTCAGTTTCCTGCTATCGAATAAAGTTGTACCTTTTTAAACGGTACAGCCTGTATATTTTTAGTGAAAATAATAGCTACTTTTTTATTCCGACTACAATTTACTTATTTTAGTCAAAACATTACATTTTGTGCCATTTAATATATTTGTATACGAAATTTTACTAGATTGCATGGGCTACTAGATGCAAATGAATGGCTTAAGCTCTGATACACTTTAATAAATGACTAAAACAAAAAAATAAGCACAACAAACCATATACCTAGATATATTCGCGACCAGAAAAAAAGTAGCTATAATTTTTACTAAAAATATACAATGTGTGCTATTTAAAAATGCAATTTTATTCAATAGCGCTTTTTTGAGACATCCACAAAAAAGCCGTGGTATGAAAAATTTTATATTGCATCCTATAACGATATTTTTTCTACGCGGCCAGAAGGTTGGTCACCTCGTACGTGCGCAAATGATGTTTTTCATTTCTAATGACCGATGTTATTTTAATTCTGGTTACTTTGACTTTTGATTAAATAATACAGATGTTTTTAAGCGCAACACCAATCTTGTAATTTCATAAATAATATGTAGATACCACCGACTGCACTGTTTAGTCTCACCAAAAACCAAAGTGACCAGAATAACAAGACCATTATTATGCAAACGTGCGCAGTAGTAATTACATAGTCTTGTTTCTTGTCAAACATTTGACATGAACTTGATTGACCACTAAATAATAATATTGCAACTTACTAGACGAGGGCGACGTTTGATGATGCAATCCTTTCAGATGCAAATGATCCATCCGGAGCATCCCATCGGTGGAACCACTATGAAGGTTAGCAGTACTGATCATTGTTCTTCGTAAAACTCACTCACTACTTCAGCAACTCAACCGGAGTGAAATCAAAAAGGGAACTAAATCTATGAATGAAGGTACAGGCTTTTTACTTCCGTAGGGTGACTTAAACGTGACTAGGGCCTGCCTCCTATTGGCTGGGCCCACGATGAATCCCTCCCCTTTTCATAAGTTATTTGTGAGTGCTGACCTATAGGGTGCCGCTTCCATTCACGAAGGGTGGCTGGCGTTGGCCCGTAAAGGTCTGTTGTACCTACGTACGCATCCTCCAACTATTATATGTATAAAAAATTGATTCATAGTTTGTTTGGCTGTTAGGGTGAGATACAGGAGGTCAGTTATTTGACCAAAGCAGAAGTCGAT